TATCGCACCAAGGCGTTGCATATCTGTTTTATGACCTGAAGAGGAGCACAAAGACACACACACATGCAGCTTTTCAGTGTTGCTCAACTTTCTCAATCTGCAAAGTAAGCACACGCACACAATGAGCATCAGTGAAGCAAATATCACCGTACAGCTTCTTGGAGATTGCAGCCTGTGCGCCGAGAAGCCCTCTGCTGCCGGTCGTGGAAGCATAGAGCACGTTGGAGTGATAAAGCTCGGTGAACACCAACGGCGGCATGGAGAGTGGCATGTGAAGGGTACAAATGTGCACCAAAGCTTCCTCCAAGCCCTCGATGATCGGCGTTGTGAGATCCTTCGTAGCTGTACACATCTCAAGAGCTTCATGGCCTGCACAAATGGTGTAGCACCATATGATATGCCCTCCACGGGTGTCTTGTCTTTGACAGCCAAAGGCGTCAATCGATCAAGACCTCTTCGAATCAAAAAAAATAAAACAAACTAAATCCCAACCCAACCCTATAGTTGGTCTCTCAACTAATACACATCCTATCAAGACCTTTGGTTGGGAGCTTCCCTATATTAGAATACCCACCCCCAGTGAGCAGCTCTGCGAGCCCACAAGGCCAATCCGCGACGCCAACACCGTCCAATCGGCGAAAACACGTCCGACTCCTGGCCTTGGGCAAAGGCTTTGGCCTTGGTCCAGAGGGTGTGCGTCCTACGGTGAGTGCTCCCAGTGTGTCCAAGTGAGATGTTTTTTGCCCTCCAGGTGGAACCGTTTTTTGTTTGTCCTCAAGGTGAGAACAGTATGGTCTGAGGAGACTGAGAAATCCGCAGAACGGGTCAAACGGTCAAACTAAACTCTGGCCGGGTCAACTTCCAAGCAGATTCAAGTCTGTAAGGAACTAAACGGCGACTCACTGACATGGGAATCATCTGGGGAGACTGTTTTCTTCTATAATCGCTAGTAGTCCACTGACATGTTCGCGAAGTAAAGTCACACTATACAATCCTGCAACCATGCACAAAACATGAACAATAACAAATAACCCACTCAAGTGCAAACCGGACACGGGGATGTTTTCTATGTTTTTTCTGTACTAAACTGGACCTTTTTCACCGGATCGATCAAGTGCTCACCGTTTAAAGATATCTAGGCCTATAGTGTGTGCCGGCACGGCATCTGGTCTACAATATCCATGATTTGCAGGGTCCGATGCCGCATGGGACAAATTGACCGAATCGATGCACTGAATATCAAACCCTAGAGATCCAGTCGTACCGAACCTCAGAAGGCACCTGGACCCTCCAAACCCACCCCAAACACCTTCTGAGAAGGTACTTGGATTTGTAGGGAAATGTTGATTGAAATACGGACCTTGAAATGCTCTGAACATCTTCGCACCACAACTCATAAGCTCTTGACCAGATCCAAACCACAACGTCCCACCGACCAACTAGCGCCGCTCGCTTCGCCCGGCTGCGCCCAGGAGCCAGTCAGTGGGCACCGGAAGGCTCGCGACCTCGGAGAGAACGATCGGACTTTGTGCCGGGACGATGGAACCGAGGTGTGGGGAGTCAGACATGACGATGACGATGTTCCTCCGAAAAAGACCGACTGCAGTCGTTTTTCAGGTTCCATTGGGTCTCTTCCAGGGTTCCAGAAGCTTGCCTTCTAGAACCTTGTCAGCTGAGAGTGATGGATTCAATAATGGTGCATGCACCAATGCTCTGCACCAACACCCTACGACTTCTGGGACCTGGTGACCTTTGTCATATCTTGTCCATTTCACTTTGACACTTGAAAACGAGTGTTGCGGGTCTCCTTGGTGTTGCTTGGTAGGGTGGGGATTCTTTTTGTGTTTGGTTTTTCCATGCATGGTGAATATTGATGGATATTGCGTCTCTTCAAGGTAAACTTATAATTTGTTGAGTTTCCCTTCCAGCATCCCAAAGGGAGTTGCACCCCAAAAGGCTTGGATTAGGAACTTGGAGCCCTGTACGATTGAACAAATGATCTGAAGGTTTTCACTGACGTGATGAAGTTCCTCACTACAAAACCAATCAGGCATTGTTGGAACTCTGCATCGCATCGTGGTTTATGGCTGTGGCTTCCGTGGCCCACAGCAAATCACTTGGTTCGATTCTACTCTTCAACAAGGGCCACACAGGTGGCACTTGTAGGCATTCTTTCTCTGCTTCTTTCAACACATCTTGTAGAGACCTTCTGTTTGGTGTTGAGTTGAACCAGGCTAGTTGTACCGTACCTGCAGCACATTGTCACAGCACATCAGGTCCTGCTCTTCCCCGCGTTCTCTGTGTTTTGGCACCCACCGACATGGCTGTCCTTCCCACCGGGTCGCCTTTCGAATCACCGGGGACGTCGCCATCGCCCTGAGGAGAGGCGGACGGAGAGGGCGGGGTCCGGAGGTTGAGAGACGGTTCCAGAGCTGCGGACGAAGAGGACGTCTTCATCCTGGCAAAGAATTGGTGTCGTCTTTTTTAAAGAAAAAGGACAGAACATGACAGAACATAGTATATTACTTTGTTGCATTCTGGAAGTCTAGAGTTAACTGGCCAAGAATTTGAACAGTTCAACGTTTTTTAGATCTAGAACGGTTACACCCCATAATCAAAACCATCCATTCTAAGGCTCCTCCAATCCAGTCACAACGAGTGCTCAAAGAACTTGACACGCCTTAACAACCAGCCATTATTCCAGGTGAGGTTCCCTTTTCCAGAGTACTTTGAGAGCCGAACCAACCAGTGCAAAAAAGCATCAAAAAGCCGCTTTTAATCACCCCACGGAAAGCGTGAATGTCCAAGAAACTAGAACCCTCAATGTGACAAACTGATGATATCTGATCAAAATCTCCAGTGAACTTGTTCTGTTTCCCCAACCGCTTTACCCAAAAGTAATCCACTTATCCACTTACATCGGCCAAATCAAACGCTTCAGTGAAATTGTTTCTTTTTTCCAGAATCCACCACTTCGTTCAATGAACACGCCGTTGGTTCCCCACTCTGGGCGTGCCGCACGGGACGGATGGGATGGAGACGTGCTCCTGTCCGGGTCCGGACGCTTGGGGTGCTGAAAAACGTGGCAGTTGTTGGACATTGGACAGGAGGAACTGCTTCCAAGACACACAGCGCCCCATGTATCACGAAGCATGCGTTTATGCCATGCCATGTTATTGTTCATCACATGCTTTGTTCTTTCATCACATGGAAGTGGTTGAAGTTGGGACCAATGGAGCCATTTTTGGTGTTGTGCCGTCTTGCATCCAGCGAACGAACACGTTACACAAGGTTGTAAGGGAATTCACATTGTGGACATGTGAACCTACCTACCTGATGATGTGCAGAGTACAAAACCATCAAGCACATACAAAAACTCCTGCAAATCCCCGAGCTTATCCGCAGCCTGGCTCAATGTGTGTGACCAAAAAGGGACAAACAACATCAAACAACCCAACTTAGCCTTCCAGTTGGTTAACTCATGATCAAAATGGCCGTACCCTCAATCACAATCAAAAATAACTCACGATCAAAATGGCCGTACTCTCAATCAAAATCAGCAACATGTTCAATAGATGTCGCCAGAGTGTTCAACACGTCTACGGTTGGGATCCAGTCCTGAACAGGCACCAGCCGTCCATAGGAATCCACCGCCAACTTTCCTGGTAGACTTCGAGAGTTCGACGCATGGTTGGCAAGTTCACTGAAATTGAAGCCTTTTTATGGGAACTTGGTTTGTAATCACTGCCCAACCAACCGGGCTTTAGACCTTTGTGCTAACCCCAACCGAATAGAAAGGGGTTAATTACAGCAAGATGATGCATTTCACACATCAAATCTCAACTTCATCTCCTCGCCTGGTGCCGCCGAGGCGAGACCCAAGCAGAAGTGCAGCGAGACCAGTGCCAGCGCAGGCGCTGGCGAGAGGGGCGCCATGAGAAGTGTGACGAAGTGGGACGCAAGTGGAGTCAACCCCAGTGAAAGCAGCGAAGTAGACTTGGACTTTGGTTAAATGGACCAGCTAACAAGTGTTTTCGATGCATTGTCTTTCTATGCTTTGGCGGTTAAAGCTGATTGTGGCACCTGATAATTTCAGGCTTAGATGTAGTTGGTTCTGGCGGCTGACTCCAAAAAAACATGGAAACGCGGGTCAGCACCAGTAAGCTGGCACTCCCGCGGGTGGGCCTGGAGAAACTGTCCCACGAGCGAGACAAGTGCGCGTGCGGCAGGTATTGATCAACGATGCAAGCAAAGTCAAGTGGGTGTTTAATGAAACCCTTCCAAAGACCCGCTCAAGAAGGACAACACGTGGACCGAACGCCATTGCTTGGGGATCTCCTTATTACAATACACACCCAGTTGTTCTTGATCAAGAACGTGTAGCTAACTTCCCAAACCTAAACACCCCAGGTTTGGGGGTATCAGGTCTTGACCCGTGTCTCAAGGTGTTTCATACGCATCCAGATTAGGAATGATGCCCAGTGAATTCATGGATCTACGCACCATCCACCTTCTGTTGTAAGGCCACAGTAGAACCTTGCCGCGAGAATCCATGTAGACTGAGAATTGACCCCCAAAAGGCAATTCATGTACATGATGGTTCTCAAAACGGATCTACCATACTAATCAAAGTACACAGGGTTTCAAGGTCTGCTGAGTCCTCTTTGGAACCACTCATTACCTACAAATCGCATTCGAGTCCTCCAAATCGCCAAGGTACCCCCCCACTACTCGCCAAGAACTTCTGCCCCACATCGCAGCGGCACACCTCTTGCAACATCCAACTTTCGAGAAAAGTAATACTTGGAAAAAATCCTTAAAAGAACAACTCGGCAGCCTGGCAGCCAGTGAAAAACCACTGAAACACAAAGAACATGTTGCTTTTTCCTTGAGTCGATGGCTCGGGTTGTCGGGAGATTTGAAAAATATGCTAAAAACTCCCAGGCCATAGCATCTGATACCAATCCTAACCTACCTGCAACACTGCATACACAATGCCTTTCTTTCTCTCAGAGCCGCAGCATGGTCATGCTTTCCGTCATCGAAATAGTACAGAAATCACTTCCCACCTTTTCAGGTGGGGCTCAAGGTACGTAGCACTTCCTTGGGACAAGGAATCATTGGAACTCCGAATGACTGTGGAGCCCGCAGAACTAATTGGACTGGCAGGATTCGGATCTGCCAAGAACTGGGTTCAAGCAACAATAATGGAATCACATTCAGGAGACTGATCTCGATGTAAGTAGTGTGCAACGTAACTTCCATGGTTGCATAATCAAATAGCGATGCCTAGGCCTATGTACAAAAGACTGAGCAATTAACTCTGCAAGCAAAGGGCAAATCTTGGACAGTTCCCTGAAAAACAGGATTGATTTGTTTGTGAAAGTGTTGAGGGGGGGAAGCCTCTTCCAACCTTGATATGCACATGTTAATTCTCCAATGCATCTAATATCATCTAATGTACCCACCAATGAATCCACAAAATCCACCAATATCCACAATACGTAGCAATCAATCCTAGTTTTGGAAGCAGCTCTTCGTACAACCCAGGACTAAAACATCGAAATAGCGTGAAAAGCAAACAGCAAACTTGCTATCGAACATGTTCTCTCCAGTGTGTTCTCTTAAGCATGAGACAGTTGGAGGATACAAAGCAACCTTGCTTTCAGCAATCAGTGAGCAAATAATGAACAACCCCCGTTGCTAGCGAGAATAGAGGTCGGCACGCCCCATGTAAAAGTATAAAAATAGTAAAAGTATAAAAATAGTCCATTTAAATTGATTTTCACAAACCAAAAGGCCTTTCAAAGTGGGGGGAGTGATGAACCCAACTTAGGTCACGCCACGGACTCTCCAGAGGCCACCGAGGCACGTTGACAGAAGGTCCACAAAGAGCAAACTACCAGAACTTGCCCTCGATCCAAATGCGCGGACGACTCCTTCCTGCATCAAACTGGTGCAATAGTTCCCAATGCTCCGCAGGACTAGACAAGCTAATGACTACAGTAATTTGCCTTATTTACTTGATGTCTTTATCACTTTGCTGGGTTGTACATGTTCCGGTACAGATCCATCATTTCATCATAGTGATATTGCTGCACATGTCCCGTCGTAACCTCTAATTACCTTACCAAGATGCCAAGCACATCTCCAAGATGTCTCCAAGCCAGATGATACAATATTGCCACAAAATAAGTAATATTGTTCAATGAACAGTGGATGTTTTCCTAGTACGATAGATGTCACATCACTCATCACCACCATCACATGGATGTTCAGCCATTGACTGAGAAAAATATACAGCTTAAAACAAAGCTTGCGAGCACCGAGTAGTTCGGGTATCTGTGAAACGGCAAGTAAGTCACTCGTACTTGTACTGAATGTGCCAAAGCTTCTTCTTCAACTGTCCCCACTAGTCACTAGTGGAGAATCAAACATGTAAAGTGTTGCAACCTCTTGGCCACAGGTACTTCACCCACATGATGGTTATCAACAAACAACTCATGTGGCATAGGTAGGAATTGGTTGCACTTGTTCTGCCAACTCTTTTCGCGCGGGTCGCGTCTCTGTACATTTCCAGCGAGAAGGAAACAAACATCAAGAACAAAGGCTGACAGACTCAGTCAGGAAGGCCGCGCAGGCGTAAAACAATGTCAGCAAGAGCGAAGATGGTGCACACTAAACAATATGTCGGAAGCAAAGAGAAAGCAACATATGAAGGAGCTGCCGCTACTAACCAGGCCACCACGATGGGTAGGTCCAAGACTTGAGCATTCTGCCCTACTACAAGTCCAAGTGCCGGGAGAAAGTCTAACGCTGTTGAAACAATGATCCATGTACCACTATCATCAAGGTTTGCAATCATCACTTTGTCTGGGAAAACGATATATGCCATATTGCTCCAAAAGTTGCCATGCTTCATGCTGTAGAGCATGAAGCCGGGCCGTATAGACAATGTCAGGACAGCGGACACCGCATAGACTGTCTCGCGCAGCAGCACACAGCAAGCGACATAGAACAAGAAATCACTTGTATTCCACAGCACAGGTGCATACACAATGAAAATAACCCCGTAGCCAGCAGCCTGCCCAAGGTGAAATGTCAATAGTTTCAGCACTGCCACCACATGTGGTTTCCATCCCCGTGGGTCATAGGCAAGGCGCTTGCACGCTCGTTCCCAACCATCTGGCTGAAAGAGCTCCCGCAATTGGCCGTTAGCATTTCCATCGGGTGCAGTATTGGACTCCAAACCATCATTTGTTTGGGAGTTCTCTTCCAGTGCTTGGTAGTTTGTTTCCCAATTCTCGGGCGAGTAGATCAGCCAAACAAGAACCATTTTCCCTAGCCACTGGCATAGACCTACCCGAAGGCAAACTGCCATCATTGTGCCCAAGAGCAAGAACTGATTGTGCAACCAATAGCGAGTGTCACCTGGTGCACCGAACGGATGATCTTTCATGGCCGCCTCATAGTTGCTGTGCATCTCCAAAAGCCACGATGACCACCACTCCATCATGGACGTCATGAGTGAGACGAGAGGAGATCTATCCTTGACACAGATCACTTGGGGCTCCACCCCTTGAACCAAAAGTGGGGTTCATCATGGTGCATCTGGTCTGCGTCGCTAAGCAGCTTGAATCAGCTTTGAAAAATGGAATCCTGCACTCCCTGGTATACTGATGCTTTCAAACCCAGAAACAAATACAAAGGGGATACTTGATTCGCCTGGGGACCAAGGTAGGTAGTCTCCAACGGCATCTTGGTGATTGCCAATCTGTCAAGCCAACCTCAACAAAACCAGCGACTTTGATCACCAAACCGCTGCCTCCAAGACTGCAGGTCTCCGCATCATCGCCAGAAACTCGAGGATCGATGCAACCTTACAGTCTCGGACCGTCTGGACCCGTGCAGGGAGGTTGATTCTGCCATTGGGCGTGGTCTTGCTGAGCAAAATCTATCATGCTGATGTGTGTGTGTTGCTGTTAGCTGGAAATCCGGGCCTTTAGCCACAACCATTGTTTCTGTTTTCCCGTTTGATTTGCCAGTGTCATGACAATTGCAAAAATTGAAAAAAGCCATGCACCCCAGAATGAGCTGTTGCACTTGCAAACAGTTTCTTTTCGTTGCCTTTGCCCTAGGCCTTATAGACAAAAGCAAGGTTACATCGAACAAATGGACATGAACATGAACTGACTTTTGAAAAATGAACAACAGTTTGGTTTTAAATGATTGTGTTTTTCAACGTTTTTCAGCTCCGCAAAGGCTTCATGGACTCGTGGACTGGCTTCGGTAGCCGTCCCTGAAAGGGCAGTCCACAAAGGCAAGTCATACGGCTGTAGCAGCCAAAATCGTAAGCCAAAATGACTGTCGTGGTATACCACAGCGGTTGACACAGTGTGTATAATTCGTTGCATCATGTTGCATCATAGGACCACAGCGACTACACGCTCTCGCCAAATATGGTGTCACGCGGCTGGTCTTTCTCAGCTGAGTCACAGCAAGACACGCAACTCCCAGACGTTGTCCATGCTGAAAACTCTGACGGATCAACTTCACCCGAAAGGACTCAGAAGGGCAAGCGTAAGGTGAGCTCACTTCTCCCCCGCGCGCTGCACGAGCACAGTGCTCGGCGGCTCGCAAAGTGCTGCATCTGCATTCCTCTGCTGCGGACAATTCTGGTCGATCATGTGAATCCCTCTGTGGACTCTCCCTTGGAGCTGTTGCAAGAGACTACATCAGTTACCTCTAGAGGTAGTTAAGTAAGTTGCAAAATGCAACCCTACGTCCTCAACCGATGTCATCCTCAAAACCAAGTCCTCATCGGCACAATAATGTCTAGTATGTTCTGATCATTCGTTTTGAGGTCGCACGGTCGCAGGTCATTGGGAATCACATCAAGTCTGGTACCCGTGTAGGAGATACTTTCTCCACATGAGCAAGAAATGCATCTTGTATTTTTGTATCGCCATCCCTCCACCATATATTGAAATATCGTCCTTTATTATCTTCGATGAAATTGTCAAGACCATCCAAAGCATACAATTTCCAAGTTCCCTCCTATCATCTCCTATCGCTTTCCTTATAGGTAGTTTGTCTTTCACCCCGCCAACCTTCTTTGTTATGTCTATAGTGTACAGACTCATATGATAATATATAATATATAAAGGTCGTCCAACTGACCACAGGCTGGCTATTGCAGCTGAGCAAAAAGCACACTTCAAAATCCTAGGAAGCGGCGGGAGCACAACAGCAACAGCCCCGCAGAACATGGCCAGACCATCCACAGGACTGGAAGAGGATATGCCGCCCCACACAGACCCCGAAATTCCACCACGCCTGGCCTGATCGGCGAATGTCTGGGACAGGTTGCCATGGCAACTTGGAGCAGTGGAGTGGCACCAGGTTGGTCCAGGTTTGACGTGGATTGGTAGCTCTGCCATGGAAGATTAGCCTGAATGGCTCAGAGCACCCCACACCTGCCCAGTCATGTATATGGCCAAGGGGTTTGTGACAGGAGACTGGAGGTCGAATGTCTGACCCGATGGCACTGTGGGACGATCCAATTGAATGTAAGCAATCGTCTGACGCACTTGTGTTTGAGAGTTCTTTTTTGTATGGAGGACATCGCTTCTGCCAGCCTCCTAAGATGTTCGAGATGCTCAGCCAAAAAGCGCTGTGTTAGTAGGGTCGATTCTTGCAGTCGAAGGAACCATATAATATAGCTATAATACCCAAACACTCCATGGGACTGGAATATTTATACCTCCATAGACCCCCACCCCAACTGATCGACAAATATGTGCCAATCCCATGGAGTCTTTGGAAGATATTGCCATGGAGAACACACGAGACAGTACGAGAATCATGCAAAGGACACAAAACAAAAGATATGCAGTTGCTGGTCGGGTCAGGACCTCAAATCAGTTGAAGTGATCAGTCCATCCGTCTGAGTGAACACGTCTCCATGACCAATGTGCTCTGTGCTCAAGAAGAAGAGTGATGGTGGGTACCCAAGTTGAAACAGGAAATGACCACGTTGGGGAGGTAGTGCTACACGCGCCTTGTAGATGCTTTGCCTCCGCCTGAGTAGGATTGATGGGAGAAGCCTAAACCGTGGTGCACCAGGATGGAAACAACTGGAGACCACTGTTATAAGCCAATCTCATCACAACCTCGACAAAAAGCCAAGGAGAAGCCGCCGCTCACCGAAGACCCCAGTTTGGTCATACAGAGTGTCTATATCAGCATAAATCAGTTTCCTTGTCAAATGAGTCACACGAGAGTGTCCATTGTTCCAATTCCAGGACTCCAACAGTATGGACTACACCACAAAAGCCGAAAGCAACAAATCAACAATGACAAAGTGCACTACTCAAACAAGAACACCATGGGCGCCCATGGGTTCTTAATATCCGGTTTTCCACCAAAATGGACCTTTTTTTTGTCCAGTTGTCATGTCCTCACCACGCAGCTGGCAGGCATCTGCCTCTTCTGAGTTGGAGGATCTTGCACCAGGAAGAGCTGAATGGCAGGAAGTGGCTGGAAGCAAGTGAGCTGCTGGAGATGTGATTGGCAAAGACCTGTTGATCCGAAAATACTTGAACAACTTGACGAACAGGGACCCCTTCAGAAATTCTGATGAGATCTTGATCAGGACGTATGGAAAGGATTTGGATGAGTTGGGGCCCGGAACTCAAGTGACAAAGCATTCGAGGGAGGTTGGACCATGTTGTCGCAAAACTTGGGAAGAGGTTGATCTTGCACCTCTAGATGACCAAGTCCAGGAAGCTCCTCTACCTAGAAGCATAGCGTGGCGACACTCGCCTACATGACATGCCCTTCATCAGCATCCTTCCCAGCAGTCCTGGGTGTCCTCCGGTTCTCCACCGCCGCTCCGGTACGTTGGCTGCCCCCGGTTGCCGCGGTCTTTCGGACCCCCCCGCCGGTGTCAGGAAACGGGGGGAGGGATCCAAGCTAGGTGCATTTTCCGAAGCATGAATGGCATCCACAGGGTGAGACACCAATTGGAAAAGAACGTTGGGACATCCCAAAACATACCCAAGCACTCCATGCGCCTGGAAGATTTACCTACCTTCAGCCCTTCTCAACAACTCCAATGTAGGTAAATATGCCGTAGGGGAAACCACACAAACCGAAAGCTCGTTCGGGGTCTAAAAGAGATGATCGCAACAGGCAGCAAACATCCATCAAGTATTTCTCAAACATTATCATCTCAATTTTCTAAGTCCCCATGCTGGGTCTGAATATGGCTGAGATGCTGGACAACAAACCCAAAAACACTTTGCAGGGATTGTGTTTCCGACTCTCTTCAACATGGTTTTTGCAGGGACCCATGCCGAATAGTATCCCCTTCTTTCCCTGTGAATCCAGAGATTAGTCTGTATATATGGTGTCATCCACTGGAGTGTCACCTCCTATGGGCCGGCCAGGCGTTTGTAGCCATGGTTCATGCGCATCATACCCATATGACTGGACTCGATGCACGGTTCATCGTTTTGCGCTCGAGCGCATGCCCGACCGCTGATCAGCAAGCTGCCAGGAGGTACAATCCCCATAACATAGTCTAACAAACGCCTCAACAGACTTGATAGTGCTGAGGATACCCCGATGTGTTCGGGGATCCTTCTCGGACTGATAGTCAATGATCACTTCGTTTTAGGGCCACCAACAAGGTCCGAATCGGCCAGCGCGTCGTGCACGCGCTTGCCGGTATGCTGTTAACTTGAAACAGTTCCGCTCAACACATCCATCATTTTATGTACCACCCCTTCAAAAGCTAAGGGGCCCAAGAAGATGGTAAGGTCTTGTGTACCTGGAATAAGGGGCATCAAACAAGGCATGTTGGTTCACCGTCTCTGCATCAGTCCATGACGAAGCTTCTTGGAAGCTTGGCTGGTTTCCGCACGGTTTCACCAGCCACCGATGTCACCACGTTTCGGGTGGTTTGAGATTGAAGAGATTCATAGAGATTCATTATGTTAAAATATGTTGAATGAATTTACATGATATTCATCAGTGTGTCTAAAATTAGTGCATCCTCTTCAGTGACCTTCAGCAGAAGTGTGTGTGCTTCTGATTGGTTGGGCTGCATGTGGCTTGTAAACCTCTAACTTTTGCCGGCGACTTTCAAAACATCCCGTGTTGGGCTACATCTGATCCTGAATCCTTCACAACAAAGTGAAAAAGCAAAAACAATCCAATAAAGTGTAAAGCTTGTCATGCCCATGTCTTTCATTATGTCAAGGTCCCAATGGTGTTTGTCTTGTGTTGAGATCGACACAATGAGCTGACCACTGAGCTGACCTTATTGTCCATGTATTAATGACCTTGTGTAAAGTTACAATCATCCGCAATTGTATTGATGCAATCCAGTGAATCCCAGTTACCGTAGATATATCTCAGGTGTCCAGCTCAAATGGATGGGAGTCTTTCCAAACAGTGCTTAGGCTTAGCTTACCTACACTGGCACCTGGATTCGCTGCAAGCAACATCTCAATATCAATATCTCGCCATAAGGAGACCTCTTCAAAAGACCCTGAAAGGATGCATAAAAGACCTCTGGCTTCTCCTAGGTCCTTTTTTCAATTCATGAACAACCCTGGTCCCTGGTCCTAGCTGTTGATGGGTCTAAGCCTTTTCAGGATCCGTGGTGAAGACAGCCGGCTCACCCTGCCGGCATGGCCTGCGCAGCCTCAGCGTCTACCACCGAACGACCGATGTGGGTCGCAGGAATCCTCAAACAGCCCTCCATTGCAGAGGTCTACACAGCCCTACTGCTCTGCCACCCAAACAAGCCAACTTTTTAAAGCTGGATTCATGTTTCTTACTGGATCCCATACGGATTCGATGGTTCAATTTAATGATCACTTTGTATGGATCGGCTGCTGGTGCAGGATAGACTGTCCACCAAACGGACTGCTTTCAGCCAAACAACGACATGCGCGTCTTTGCGGCACGGAAATCAACTCAACTGAGTGAAGGAAAGAAGTCAACATGGATCAAAGCTACCAGGGGCCCACAAACCATCAAAAACCTGGCATTTTACCAGCAAAAAGCATTATATTTTACGTGAACCATCGTGAAAATCTTTTATGTTTGATGGGTTGGAGGGCCGCTGGTAGCTTTGATGAGTGGATCTGCACCCCGTATACGGCCTGGCTGGCATGTTCTTCACCCAGAATCAGTCGATGAAACATCGAGCCTTCAACTGCCTTTGGCATGTGACGTGAGCTCTCCTTGTAGAGAACAACCGAAAGAGATAATTCCTTGTGTGGAAAACATGCACTGGCGACTGGCACTGAGGAAAACATGCGCCAAATGATTGGCTCAGTGCGCCAGTGCTGGAGGTCTCTTCATGAACGGAACATGGAGCTGGTTGGGTGACTTTGGACACCTTCTTGACCCTCAGAATCCCTCAGTCAGGAGCTGGAAGGGACATGATGGGACTGGTTACCCCGTGGCGCCACTGCTGGCTGTAGGCTTCCTCACACAACATCTCTCTTGGAAAGAAACAAAAAAAAAGCCATCACAAAGCAAGATTAACTTGAAGAACAACATATATAACTATATAGTTTACTTAGACTGGCTTGAATTATGTTGACATGCGACTAGGAGTCAGGTTTCTGCCAGAATCTACACATGCATGCACCTATTTTTTTCCGGACTCCCAAAATCGCCTCAGCACAGCTCCTCACCCACCGCGACCGTCCAACCCACCAACCCACGAACGTCGCATACACCATGCGGACGAGTGGCCACGACCTCACTCAACAAAGGTAGCTGAGCCTGGAAGTGACCCACCGCCAGTTCCAAGCGGTCTGAAGAACCACTAGGGGCAACGGTGGGGAGAGAGACTCGGAAGGGAGAAAGGAGACTCGCGGTGGCGAGGCATCGACTAGAACTCTCAGGGGGTTCCTTTGTAGCCATTTTCCGCTCACATACCGGTCTTCCTTGCTTGCGACGACCTGTTGTCAACTTGTTTGGGGCCCGTCTCTTCAAAGTGACCAGTGACCACTGCCATATCGTGATGTATAAAATCATCGTTGTATATGACCGTGTGGAAGCATTGTGATCCTATACGTGTCATGATGATACCATTATATTAATTCCTACATGTGTTTTCCCCCACGTGAAACTAGATTCATCCACCTGGACAGTTTGAGACCCCGAACTCTACTGGAGCCTCAAGTCAAACTTAAAGAACCTTCTTTCGGACAACATGCCACGTCTCTTCTCAGCACCTCCCTGGCCAGGGCTTCGGCCGCCGCCTGTGACGCAGGGTCGCAGCGGGAGACGGCCCAGAATCGAGACCCACTCAGTTTGGGCATGTAAGTATAGCTGGACTTCGCTGTATATGTGGGATATGATGGGAGTACATCGGGGGATTCTCCGGGTAGGAGTGACTTTTCATGACTTATCGTCCCGTTTTGGGGTGACCACTGTCGCATCCAAAACGATAACAGAGCGACTTG